ATCTCTGCAAATAAAGAATAAATTGTCCTTGTAGGTTGGGTCTCTCATCTTGGTCCTTGCGGAAGAAAGATGTTTGGACTCTGCTAGATTGAGCCTTGCCAAACAGTGCTGAACATATATCCACAACCGACTATTCACAGCAGCTATCGTCCCCAGCTTGGGGAGCTGCTGGTTTGCCACTCCAGATGCATACTCTGGACTCTTCCTGACTGAATGCTGGATGAGCACCATTTATCCCTGCAACATCCCTCACTGCAGAAGGAAAAAAAAGGCATGCAAGAGGAGCAATCACAGGGTATTCCAGCTGGTCTCCATGGTCCAGACAACTGGCTAACTTTCAAGATCACACATGTAATTAATTCCTCAAAAGCAGATGTAGTGTTCTTCTTTGCCATTCTACATGAATCAGACCCCTCTTGGCACAGATATGAAAAAATAAGGGAGTTTTCACTAAAAAAATCCCTTTTGCATTGCTTCAGTCCTCTGATCTTGGAATCTTAGCATCTGAAAAAGCTTAGAACAGTCTTAAGATGCCTCACATTTCTGTTAACTTCTACTAGCATCCTGAAGACCACCATTAGCAAACTTGTTGATGTCAAAAATCATGGAACTCTGTCTGCAGCACCTTTTCCCGGGGACATTCTCCTTGTGCCAGCTGAGAAATCCCTCATACGAGTGAGGTCTTCAGATGCTCATCTAAGACTGTATTAAAACCTCTGTGTATTGAATGAATAGTAGAAAGAAGCTTTTATGTAAGTTATTTTTTAGCAGTCGCAATCATACTTTTACCGGCTTTGACAGAGTTTTAGCAGTCTCTGTGCAACTTCCTACTTTGGCCTTGTCTTCAGTGCCAAAAAAACTTTCTTAGAAGCACAGCATATCTATTGTACACTAATTATTCTGCTGTAAAGTTTTAATGGAAACAGTTATGGCCTTTTACTGTAAACTAAATATACAAAGGCACCAATGGACAAAAGTAGTTTTAAGCTTGCAGTAAAAATTTGTCATTTCTTGTAGCCACCAGGATTTTAGAATAGGACTCTGGTCAGATGTTCAAAACCTACTTTTTTTGCAATGAAAGCAATGCCTATTGGCTATGTCTGCCTGCTAAGCTTCACAGCTTCTGCTGGGCAAAAGAATCTCATGCCGCCATTTCAAGCAATGGCTGAATTAACTTTTTTTTTTTTTTTTTGCAACTAGATGCTGTGTCCTTGTGATGCTTGTTGAAATAAAAGTGGTTCCTCGGTAGTTTATATGTCCCCATGGCTCTAAGTCTTGACAGAATCATTCACTTCATAACTATTAATACTGAATAATCATAAAACTTATCTCTGTCATTTGTATAAAGCACAAAGGATTTACGGGGCTTAAAAGAACCTACGGTCACTTTGGTAATCTTAAGCATAAGAAAGTTCAATTAGAAATCTAAAATGGGTACTTTGATCCAATAATTATTTATGCAGCAGATAATCCACTATACTCTAAATAAATAGCATTTAGCAGCCATTTCTAAACTGCAAAAGATAGTGAGACTCTTACATTCACAGCAAACTGTAAAGACCTCATGTAGGCTTTAGTTGTTGCTATTTTCATATACATAGAGCAGTACCCTAGTGAGGAACAATTCTGCTCAGTGGCTGGAATCAAATCCTTGAGGATAAGCAGTAGCATTTCTATGGCTTCAGCCTGTGAAGAAATAGGTCTTCATAGTGCTGCGTAAGAAGCCTGCATATACACTCTCAGCACTTCAAAATACAAACAAGGTAGACCGTAAAAGACCAAATGCCACTTGCAGTTGTACTTTGGAAATCAACAAACTAACGGTCCATGGCCAACCAGTTCTCTTATTTGATAAGCCAACGATCTGTACTATGCTGGAAATGAAAGGAAAAAAAAAAAAAAAAAAAAAAAAAAAAAAAAAAAAAAAAAGGAGTCTTCCCAAGAAAACTGAAGCCAGTGGCAATAGCAACATACTTTCAAATTGCCAGCCAAAAGTCTACCCATTCCACTACAGGTAGAATTGGTTAAGCAGAAGGAAAGGTTCAAGAACTCGAAACAGGGACAGACAGAATAGGTACATGATGGTTCAGGGTGGCTCAGGGACTTACTGAGGCTTAACTTTTACCTCTCTGCATGGCACGGCTATCAGTATAGTAACTGGATACAGGGCATGCACTTACACCTTCCTGGCATGACCAATGAAGCCCACAGAACTTATCTTGAAACAGTCACACACTCCAAATCCTTTTACAGTAAAGAAATAAGATAAATTTGTTCAAGAATGGAAGCTGATTGCACAGGGCCTCTGATGCGTGTTTCCCATGGCTCTGTTTCTGACCAAGATAACTTTAATTTAAAACTTCTTGAACCTACTGGACATACTCAAAAATGTTTAAAGGGCTCACTTCTACTTTTTCCCTTTCTTTCCTCCCACTGATGATCCAATATGGTGGACCATGCTTAAGCTCAAAACGCAGTCAAATGAGAGGCATTTTCCATATGGCAAGTAACTGCTTTGAGAGACTTCTCTTTCACACTTTCCACTGCTTCTTCTAAGGAGACTAAACTGGTCATCTGTTCTGAGGGGGAAGTGTGCCATAACATTTTAATTTCCTGGCTCTATTTACCAAATGCATATACTGGGGAAGCAGTATGGGTTGATCACCACTAGGTCATTCACAAAATAACTTTTTGGTGAGTGTAGTCAATTATTTTTTTGTTACAGACTTCCTCTCTTTCACTGCCTGTCTACTTCATCTGCTCAAATTATAACCTTTTAAGGCAGAGATTATTATTATTATATATACATATATATATATATATATATATATATATACACTGTTGAAGCTCAGAAGGTAACACAAGAATGCCATGGCAATTCAGCATGGTAGTAACTGAGAAATGCAAACATTGTAAGGAATTCATCAGCTGTCTGTTGATCTAAAAGAAAATTATTAACCCATTTTTCTAGATTGAATACAGAGGCACAAAGCAATTAGATGATCCATCCTAAATCAAAATCCAGATATCCAGTGCAGTTGCAGATCAGTTTGACCATTCATAAAATCCATTTCAGTGTTTGAATAGCTCATGTTTACTTTGTTCAGAACCCTAACCTTGTAACAATTTTTAAGTCTATGAAACTAGCAAATCTAGGTTTAAACTAGGCAACTTTTATGTTGAAATAATTCATTATGTCTCCTAGGAAATGGCCATTGATTTGGACAGGCTCTTCTTTCTCCTCCCCCGTGCTAATGTGATTTTTAATCCTCACTAGTAATTGCTGTTTCAGGAAACTGTAGTCCCACAAACTGCTCTTCTTCCTGTTTAATGCATGCTCGAGATTCAGCCTGAATGAGCCTGACAGTCACCTGCTTAAATGAAGACCTGACAGTGCAGGCAGAAATGCCAGCAGGACACCGCCCCGTCAGGACCAAAGAGCTTTGCTTTCCAATCCCCAATCATTTCAACATCATTTCAACAGTACACAGATTTTAGGGGCATATTAAAACACAAAACAAAACAAAACAAAGGGCACACCTGCAGGAGCACCTTTACATAAGCATTAGGAGGCACTGCTCCACAACTTTTCCGCGGTGGGAGCAGGTAGAAAGAGTTTTTCAGCTTTCATTGAGTCACTCTCTACAGTGCCTAATTTTTGCTAACCGGTTATGGAAAGGCCATGCTGAAATGGAAATCACGGAGCAGCCACTTTCCAGCGAGGGCTCCTCGCATACAGGAGCCGCACTTAAACCAGCAACCGCTTCTCCGACGCCGCCACGCAACTGACTCCGAGCGACGAGGGCTGTGTCGGGGTCTCCTCGGGGCACCACCGCGGAGCCCAAGGGAACGGGCGCCAACGGCCGCGCCTCGACCACCGGTGTCACCAACGGCCCCTCGCGCCCAGGGCGGCAACGAGGCCACGCGCGCTGGGGGCGCGGAGGCGGCGCC